CCCCAAAACCCCAAAACCCCAAAACCCCGGGCATTTTCACATTGATTGAATATGTGTCAAAATATCACTGAAATAGTTAAAATTCGTCTCCTTGAATCCCAGCATCAGTGATGGTAAAGTTTGTACCTGTGTGTTTCCAGTGAGAAGACTGGTCTACTACAAGACGTCTCTTGTAGCTGCTTGGTCCCATTTGTACTTTCTGGAGACATATTCTGTCATTTACCAGTGTGGTCCAGGTAGGGCCAAGACATGGCTTGTAATTTGTCCGCGCTCTTGGCTTTTCAGTGAAGACTTTCGAAGGATCATCTTCAGACGCATCCAGTGAGATATCAGCAGTCACGTTGTTTACTGTTATGATTACCATATTCTTTCGGTAAGCGATCCCTTTCAGAGTGCTAGCAAGATTGGTCAGGAAGATCGCTCTTTGGATGTAATCCACTTCAGTAACACCAGCTTCCTTGTTGATGAAGTCTTCACAAAGAGTGGCTAAATTATCGATGATTATTCATCTGATATTTTCTTTGCCAACTTTGGTTTCAATATCATTCATTATGTCATTGAAGATCTCCATGTCAGAGGCTTGGAGAAGCTTAATATTACGATCGATATCGTCACTTGTAATGATGTCTGGATTTTGTTGGACAATATGATCTTTGATATCTGTGAAACGTTTCTCGCTCAATGGTTTTCCTGTGAAAATAGCCAATGCTTTCCCGCCAAGTCCACCATGATCCGCTGGCAGCACAGAATTTATCATCAATTGACAAATGAATTGGGTCTTTCCAGTCGAGCCTTCTCCAAAGATTTCAATGAGTCTTTTGGAAGGAAGTCCTCCTTTTAAAAATCTATCTATATGCTTGCAACCTGTGGATAGTTTTGAGGAATGCACAAGCAAATTAAGCTCATCGGTTATAGAGTTATGACCTCGCGATTTGTGTAAGGGCTTTGCCAAGAGGTCTGCACAAGTCATGAGCTTGATTGGTTTAAAAAACTCATCTTGATGCTCTTTCTCTTCTTCTTCCTGTTTGATATGATCTTTAAACCCCGTTTGGGCTGTGGAATGGTGATCCTTCTTGATAAGTTTACCAAAGGGTGATTTCAGGTACAAATTGTCACCTGTTTTACGAATTATGCTGTCCAGAGCCTCCATGATTCTTAATACAATTATTGATAAATCCAGAGGGGTTTTGGGGTTTTGGGGTTTTGGGGTTTTGGGG